TTTTCATTCACCTTGTTCCTGTAGTTATTTCCTAAAACTGCTTAACAGTTATGCCTTTTAGGAATTCCCTCCATCTGAATAATATTTTGACAGTAACCCCAACACGGTGTTGCAATAAATAACCCGGCATGTTACTTAAAGATACATAATTTTATTTTACATACATGCTATTAGTAATTTGATCACATGGATTTATTTGTTGGAATTTTTCAAAATTTGCCTCTTGGGGTAATTTAGAAACTTAGTTGCCTTTCACAAAATGCACATCGTTTCTGACCCCTACACATATTCAGAGCTTTCCCTTTCATCATACTAATACTGTAATTTCGAAGTTTTAGCACAGCTGTAGTTAAGAGTGAAAACAAATGTCCTATACTTGAATTAATACATGCTTAATCTAGGAGTTACGTTTAGTGGTGTTTATAAGTATATTTGTTATTGTTTCTTTAACTTCTTATCTATAACTCCAGATTCTCTTGGACTTTTGTTTACAATGAGTAAAGTAACTTGGAAGCAACTAGATCATATTCTGTAGCAAGGCATCTATATATATTCACATCCCAGAGATGGTAAAGTAGACTGGTTGGAGATAATGGGGAAAAGGGAAAACATTTTGAGTCCTGTGTGCTTTGAAAAGTGGTGGTTTTACCAAGAGATTTATTTTTGGTTGAACACAAAAAACTACACTTTCCTCTACTGTTTATCAGGCTTAAATTCCAGATTTTCTATTTAAAGGTAGCAATCCAAATTTGGTTGTTATTTAAATAACATCCAGGGAATTAAACTCGCATCTTCTTAAATGTTAAATATAAATATTTCTATTATAAGTAGAGCTTGCAGAGTAGAATGTCTCATATCACTTGGTCCCTTTTCTTTTTTTAAAGCAAAAGATTTGTTTTATTATCTCTACCCTAAAAAGACCCAACTGTGGTTTCATGCTTTAGTATAGTTCATTACTGCACTCAAAGATGATTTTGGGCTGTTAGCTTAAGACTTTCCTTTAAAGTAGCTTTCATATAAACTTAACCTTTAGTATTTATTATCACTAAGATTTCATCAGTTAAATAGAATATTTCTGAGCATTTGTTGGTATTACCTAGAAACTTATGTTATTTTTAAAGTTGGATAGAGTATGGCAATGTGTGAGTCACTCTTTTTCATATTTTGTATCATCTGATTTAAACAAAAAAAAAAAAAAACTCTATCATCATCCAAAGCCCTTCTCTCCTAAAATTCCTTACTAACTACTCCTTGGACACGCCTGTGTCTTTATAACTTGCCTACTGCTTATTGAAATAGGGGCCCAGGGATCCCTGGGTGGTGCAGCGGTTTGGCGCCTGCCTTTGGCCCAGGGCACGATTCTGGAGACCCCGGATCGAATCCCACGTCGGGCTCCTGGTGCATGGAGCCTGCTTCTCCCTCTGCCTGTGTCTCTGCCTCTCTCTCTCTCTCTCTGTGTGTGTGACTATCATAAAATAAATAAAAATTTAAAAAAAAAGAAAAGAAAAAAAGAAATAGGGGCCCATCTGTCTTTGAGCGTATCACATGTGGTTAGCCTTGGCAATTTTGTGGCAAGCAAATCTGATTGTTGGTTTCAGATTTTATGCCTCGTTGAAGCCTTTAGTTATTTGAGCCAACAAGTGGTGATAACTTCTGTGTGTGATGCAACTTTTGACTGTTAAACTGTTCTATTCTTGAGTCAGAAAACCAGTGTAGCAAAGACCTGACTTCATTCCAGTAGTAAGTATACTTCATTAGAGTATCCTTCTTAAACAGTAAAAATGTCCACTTTTGTTTTTGTTTTTTTTGTTTTTTGTTTTTGTTTTTGCTATTTCCTGTATGAATAATTCTTACTGGCATGAATATTTGTTTTTGCTTGAAGACCTTTCCTTTTACAAGAGTGATGGCATACATAGCATGGAAATACATAATGTGCTTATTCTCTTAAATCTTACATAACAATAACAGTGACTTAGAATGAGTTTTCAATTCTGTTCATATTTTATTTATTTAAAAAGATTTTATTGATTTATTCATGAGAGACAGAGAGAGAGAGAGAGAGAGAGAGAGGCAGAGACACAGGCAGAGAGAGAAGCAGGCTCCATGCAGGGAGCCCGAGGTGGGACTCGATTCTGGGACTCCACGACCTGGACCGAAGGTGGTGCTAAACTGCTGAGCCAACAGAGCTGCCCAATTCTGTTCATATTTTAAAGTTACTTTAAAAATCTTTAATATCTGTTTTTTTCTGAATAAGAAATGTGTCTATTACTTAAAAAAAGAAAATGTTATAAAAAAGTCATAACATTAGAGAATTATAAAAAAGACTGGTTCTCTGACCAGTAATGCATTAAAAATTATAATTTGAATTATTAGTGAACATACTCTACTTTTTCTTCAGGTATGTAAATTTTGTGTAGTGAGAACAATCTGAGGCAACTTCTTTAATTATTTATTATTAGAACATAAACTGTTAATTTCATTGTCAGAAAGTCTGAAAATGTTATGTTGTAAAGACAGTTTGACTTAAATTTTCATTTTTTAAGGGAAACGGTACAATGACTTGTTACTGTAAGTTTATTAGAAAAACATGGATAGGAATAAATATTACTCTTCTAGAAGGTCACACTGAGTGAGTTTTTTAGAAGCATTGTAATTAGGAATACACTTGAAAACACGTTTCCAAAGGGAATGTTAACTTAGTTCAGTGACATTTTTCATGAACACTTTTGAAGTTGATAATGTAGGTACATATGTGAAGTATGTATAATTGTTTATCCTAAAACTATTAGCATTGCACTTAAATTTTTATATTGGTTCATAATAGATATTTGGGCATCCAGAAAGAGAAGAACACAACACAATGATTACATAAACCATTAAATAATTACAGATATATTTAGGAACATTAGATTTAAAAGTTCAACATGTATTTTGGTTTATTAGTTCAGCATTTAAGCTTAGAACCAGAGTATTTGTTTGCAGCCTCATGTTTCCATGTTCCAGCTATCTGATCAGGATTCTGGCAAGTTATCTTTTATAATAAATATATAGTGAAAAATGAAATTAATATATGAAGTAGCTACTTGGTAGACTTATGGTGATCAAATGTCAGCTGTCACTATCATTATTATGGATATTAATATTATTCCATGGTAAAAGACATAAGTATTTTATATTGTGTTTTTACAGAAAAATTTATCCATTACTTATAGTTGGTATAAGAGTATATGTCTTCATGTATGTTGGGTGTATTCATAATTCTTATATTTTTCTGATAATAATAATACATATTAACTTTTTTGATGACATGTTTTTCCCCACCAGTGAAGTGGAGTTTATTTTTAACTGTGTTGGGAGAGAATGATGAAACTATTCTTCCAAATACATAACCAAACTTGTAATAGCCTTTTATTGAAAAACTCCAGAATTATTATTATTATTTATATCATTATCGATATTGAGCACTTACAGTTGCCAGCACAATATTGAGTGCTTTACATATATTTCCCCATTTAATTCTTGTCATTACCTTCTGAGGTTGGTGCCATTACCATATCCACTTTACAGATGCAATCACAGCAGAGAAGCTTAATGACTTGCCAGAGATCATGCAGATAGAAAGTGGTAGGGTTAGGAGTCAGGATTGAGACATAAGTAGCCTAATTCCAGATGCTCCATCTTGATGGCTTAGTGCGTTATACAGTTATGTGGATTCCTTGTGCCTCGTACTGTGGCAATATTCCAATATTAATGGTCTTCTATAGACTGTCTTTAAGGTTCATCTACCCTCTTGGACTTGACTCTGCCCATGCTTTCCCTTGCTCTCATGCCTTCCTGCTGGCATTTTGGCTTGAGCAACAGGATTGGGAACATTCCTGTCCTCTGTTTCTGTGCTTTTCCTTTCTTCAGCAAATAATAATGACTCTCAGTCTGATAGGCAGTTTGGAAAATATGACAGATGTGTCACAGAAAACCAGAACCAAAATTGCTATTCTTACCAAGCACAAGAAAAGGAGGGACAACATGTGAATTTGATCAAAAGCCAAAGGCTTTTTGGGCCTAGCTATAATATTAATTAAGTAACACCATAGGGAGACCTGGGTGACTCAGTTGGTTGAGCATCTACCTTCGGCTCAGGTCATGATCTCAGGGTCTTGGGAACTGAGCCCCAGAGTTGGGAATCCCAGCTCAGCCAGGAGTCTGCTTCTCACCTCTGCCCCTCCCCCATTGTGGTCTCTCTCTCTCTCTCTCTCTCTCTCTCTCTCGTTCTCTCTCAGGTGAATAAAATTGTCAAAAAAAAAAAACATAAATAACTACTGTATATCAGGGTTAACTGTAACATTACAATATTACTAAATTTGAAAGTTTATGGTATATTAATGTTACTTTTAGAATGAATGTTACTTTTAGAATGCTTCTAAATAAGTTGCATTAAAATGTTGAGCTTTTCATAAGGAGTGGCTGATAGGAGGTTTTTTACAATTCTCTGAAACTTCTTGCCTTTTTAAAATAAATATACACATTTCTATTTATTTTAGAGAGAAAGTGAGCAAGAGAGCATGAGCAGGGGAGGGGCAGGGGAGAGGAAGAGAGAATCTCAAGTAGAGTCCCAGCTAAGTATGGAGCCCAGCGCAGGGCTCCATCTCAGGACTCTGAGATCACCACCTGAGCTGAAACCAAGAGTCAGAGGCTTAACCAACATAGCCACCCAGACCCCCAACTTCTTCCCCTTGAAAAACTAGTGTTTATGTTTTTAATTTCTTCAAATATCTCCCACCCCTCCCCAAGTTCTAACTTTGAGATATGTGCCACAAACACAAAAATGACAAAAGCCACGGCACATTTTGGCAAAATTTGAAACACAAATGGGATTTGGATGTTCCTTTAGTGCAACCTCAAGGAGTCAATCAGCCCAGTTTTCAGAAAAAGCCCCATTTCAGTGCGGGTACCTTCAGCTTCAGGCCTTTTCTCATTGGGTGTCCCTCTGTTTGGTGTCTCAGTCTTCAGGAACCAGTATTACTGTGGATATTGCCGTGATGGGTGAGGCTCACGGCCTCATCACCGACCTCCTGGCAGACCCTTCCCTGCCCCCCAACGTGTGCACCTCCTTGAGGGCAGTGAGCAACCTGCTCAGCACCCAGCTCACCTTCCAGGCTATTCACAAGCCCCGCGTGAATCCTGTCGTTTCCTTCAGTGAAAATTACACCTGTTCTGATTCTGAGGAAAGCTCTGAAAAAGACAAGCTGGCTATCCCCAAGGTAGGTATTAATGACATATCCCTGGAAAGGTTAAACCTTTTCTTTTGCCTCCTGGTTCTGTTTCTTGTCACCACCAAACCCAGATGCAGATTCATGTCAGTGACTCAGGATGTGTTCCTCATGGTGATCAAAGTAGTAAAAATTTAGAGGTAAAGACTTGTGTCCTGATACCTAACAGCCTTTTGTAAATGGAAGTTTCATCTTTTGGGGTTGCTTTTTTTTTTAATTCAGACTTTGAATAAGTTTTTACTTCTATATACCAGGCTCTGTTTTGTGGGCAAGGGATATAGCAGTGAGAGGCAAGGGCAGGCTAAAGCCCTACTCTGTTTAAAAGCCCTTGCCCTCTGAAACCCAAAGAGTCCCTGCTCATGATTTCTTTGTGTGATATCCTTCATGGTACCCTCCTGGCTTTCCCAAATCTGAGAAGTTTTGAACTCAGTTTTAATTGATTTTGGATTTTTGAGTGAAAGATAGCCTTAGTGATTTGTAAATTCCTTCTTTTTATATGTAAGATATAAGAGTTTTATAAATGTCAGCTGTAAGAAATAGGATCCTACACCCAGCTTAGACCTTACATTAGTTGAAAATGGGTTATATCAAAGACTGAAAAGAAAATCAGAATTTAAGTCATCTCTGGCACATCCTGTATGGTTATCTGTTTGGTAAGTAGGCATCGGTCCTCTTGAGCCTAGTGGTCAGTCAGCAACACCCACAAGTTAGCTGTTGTGAGTCTCTGGACTCGGGAATGTGCATTTAACACAACTTTATCATTAGGTATTTACATAATTTTTTTTGAACACCTGCTTCTCTGAGAATGGTATGGCTAAGCATGATGTGACAGTAAAGGAATAGAGAGAGATTTACTGTTTCCTTTCAGTCTCAAAACTGACATGAAGTGAGTGAGATTTTCAGGTATCAGTCCTGGTATTTATAGTGCTTACTGTTAATTACCTGCTGAGATGCATATTCAGATCTTTAAGAAATATGGGAAACTAGGATCAGAGCTGTTCTGGAATCTCAAAGTGCCATATACTTCTCAAGAGTTTTTGCTATCCTCAGAAGACCAGAATGCATCTTTGTAAACAATGCCTATGTGATTTGTTTACTAGGAGTAACTAGCCACAAATACAAATGGGTTGAACTTTGACCTATTATATTGCTGTAGTTGTATTAGAAGGATGCCTTCACTTTAATTTTTAAGGTGAAGACCGTCTTCAAAGTGCCGGTGCTCATCCTGATAAGTTCAGAGTCTTGCCTCTGTGCCATTGATGCCATATATCCTTTTAGGGTATCCCAGGAGGAGAAATAGTCATGAGAGGGCTACAGGTCACCCTGTAACAGAAGACTCAGCTAAGATGAGTTGGTACTGATGACATTACCCTTATTTGTGATGTTTAAGTCCTGCCAGCCACAAGAAAAGTGGTGCATTTTGTGAGTTACATCTTATACTCAGTTCCTGCCTTGTGTAAATCAAGAAATTAAATTAATAAACGCTTTAGTGTAAAGACTATTTTTCAAGATGATAAAAATTAATCCATGCCCCTAACCTCAAAATGACTTTTGAGGACAAACTTTTGTTCATAATAACTAATATGTATATAATTATGTATATTTCATTAAACTAATGTAAATATAAAGTTTTCCCAAAGGTAAGTGACTCTTGATCCTATAATTCCTTAAATCATCATCTAAATGAAGTTCCCAATTGTTAATTTTATAATATTCATTCTTTTATTGAATTCCTGAGCACCCAAATTTCAGATAGGTATTATTTCAGCCAATACAGTTTAATAAATTCACTTCCAATTAAAAACCCATTTTCTCCCCTTGTATTATATAGAAGTTAGAGATCAAAAATATGCTTGGTAATAAAATCAGCACTCCTTCTTCCTAGCGCCTGAGAAGGAGTTTGCCTCCTGGTTTGTTGAGACGAGTTTCATCAACTTGGACAACCACCACCTCAGCCACGGGCCTACCCACTTTGGAGCCTGCCCCAGTACGGAGGGACCGTAGCGCTAGCATCAAACTTCATGAAGCACCTTCATCAAGGTTAGGCAATGCTCCTTTCACATCTCTTAGAGAAGTTACTTGCCAAAAGGAATTATAAATTACAGTGGAAAGGTGGCCCAACCAGTTATTTTTGATTGGAGGCCCGCATTGAAAATGAAGAAAATATATGGTTTAAATGCAAAACACTATACAAATTAACATCAGCTAATTAGGCTTGAATTGTGTTGCATGGTCTTACTTATAAATGGGAACAGTGATTGATGTGATGCCTCCCAGTGTGACAGGATGGGAAGAGGTGAGCCCAGAGTAGAGGTAAGCTAGATTTTATGTAGACTGAGATTCATATTAAGATTCTTCAATCAAAGGCATCCAACCTGACATTTGCACATTGTTGTTAGATTTCCCCCAGCCAGACCAGTTATCTTAGCATTATATGAAAGGCAAAAGATCAGATCAAAAAATGGATTGTTCCTAAGAGCATGTGGATATGTTCAAACATTTGGTAATTTAAAGTTTATTTAGGCAGAGCACAAATTGGTGATTGCCAGAGATAGGAGGTGGAGTGTGCCAAATGGGTGAAGGGACTCAAAAGGTACAAACTTCCAGTTGTAAATAATTGTGTTGGGGATATAACATGCAGCATAGTGACTATAGTTAATAATGCTGTATTGCACATTTGGAAGTGGCTGAGAGTAAATCTTAAAAGTCCTCACCACCAGAAAAAAATTTTTTATAACTGTGTGCTGATGGATGCTAGACCTATTTTAGTGATTATTTCACAGTAGATATGAATATCAAATTACGATATTGTACACCTGAAACTAAGATGTCAATTATATCTCAATTTTAAAATAGAATAAACCTTATATAGTATATTAATTATAATTTTGCAAAGTGACTTAAAAGCCAGAATTACCAAAGCTAAAGAAAAGATAGTGTTAAGATGTAGAAAGAATTTTGAAGAAAACACCATTGTGAAAGGAGGTATTTGTGTTTGTCCTTTTTTAGTTAGAATAAGAATGGCATGTTTTATAAGAATTCAGTGATTTTTAGGACATTTCCCATAGGATTTCAGGTTTTTGAAACATTTGCATTAGTACTTATTAATGCCCTAATCACTGAAAAATAACCACATCTTTGTTGAACTCCATGATGACAGTATTAGAAGTAATTTTCTCCTGATCTCGGCCTTGAATATAAATAAAGCACCATTTTGCATTTTGAGATTGGCAGAGAAATGGAAACCTTTCAAATCATGAGTTTAATGACTACTAACTTTTCTTTGTCATTTAAAAATATGTGGGGATCCCTGGGTGGTGCAGCAGTTTGGCGCCTGCCTTTGGCCCAGGGCGCGATCCTGGAGACCCGGGATCGAATCCCACATCGGGCTCCCGGTGCATGGAGCCTGCTTCTCCCTCTGCCTGTGTCTCTGCCTCTCTCTCTCTCTCTCTCTCTCTCTCTCTCTCTCTCTCTCTGTGTGTGTGTGTGTGTGACTATCATAAAAAAAATAAATAAAATAAATAAATAAAAATATGTGTAATTTGTTTCTTCCTTAATGCCACAGAGTCTAATGAACCTATAGAATTAGAAGCAAACTCAAATGATTCTTTATTTCACAGATCAGTGTAATTCCACTTCATCTTATTACCTGTAGTTTTGTAAAACTTTAAACGCCACCACAGGAGAAGGTTAGCTAATCTGATTCATGAACATTTCCCAAAGGTCAAATTACAGGTTATTAGTGATATCTTCCTCTGAAAATATTGACCATTGTCAGTATGTACAGCAGCAAATACTGATAAGTGATAGTGGATCCTAGTTAAATATTTGCTCCTTAAGAATATGAATTTTGTTCTCAGTGTATATCTTTAGAAAGGCTGTTTTACCAACACTCCTTGCTGAGACTTCTGTCATAGAATAGTTAATGCTCCATGATTTTTTAAAAAAGATTTTATTTATTTATTTGAGAGAATGAGTGAGAGAGAGAGGATACAAGCAGGGGGAGCAGCAGACAGAGAAACAGACTTCCTACTGAGCAGGCAGCCCAGTGTGGGCCTCTATTTCAGGACCCCAGAATCTGACCTGAGCAGAAGGCAGATACTTAGCCCACTGAGCCACCCAGGTGCCCCACTGTATGATTTTCTTACCACACAGTGACTCTGCCAAAAATCCATTTGTGCACTTTTAATAATAATTAATTATAATTTTTTGTTACTTTTTTTTTTTAATTCATGATAGACATATATATATAGAGAGAGGCAGAGACCCAGGCAGAGGGAGAAGCAGGCTCCATGCCGGGAGCCCAATGCGGGACTCGATACCAGGACTCCAGGATTGCACCCTGGGCCAAAGGCAGGTGCTAAACCACTGAGCCACCCAGGGATCCCCTAATTTTTTGTTACATCTGATCAAATTTCATTTCTCGAACTTTTTTTTCTTAAATGATATTAGAGACTATAGTTGATATTATCATGAAGAGTGTTTCAAGAACTTTTATGAGCTTAACTTCCAGGGTTCCTGTCATCTTGTTTGATGAAATAAATACTCATAATCATGTATTTTCAAAATAGATAAGGAAGAGCGTCCAATCTCATTCATTTTCTTTGTAAAAAAACAAAAACAAAAACAACAGCAAAAAAAAACTGTCTTGCCCAAGTGTACTTTTTCCTACATCTAATTTTACTATTCCTTCATTTCCCTGTCCTATTAAGAGTCCTGATATAAAGTCTGAAAATGATACAAATTTTCACCATTACGAAGAAATGAAATTCATTCTGAAGAGAATTGGAGGGAAAACTATATATGAATGGCAATAGTACCACCATTAAATTCAACTGGTTTTAGTTGAGTCTGTCTTTGTCACAGGTGAAAACAGTAGAAAGGTGGCCAGTGATCATCTCCAGCCTTGGTCTCCACTTAGCAGACCAATTGATAACACTACTGATTGATTTCAAAACTGATAGGAGATATAGTCCTTGTAGTTTTTTTCTCCGTCAGCCCTTTTATTTCTTCCTTTCCTTCTTGTGTGTCTTTCTATTGAGGACTTTGAGGACTGTGATCAAAAGAACAAGAAGGAGAAGTGAAAATTAGGGGCAGCCCTTTGGTATTTAGCTGGATGATTCACTCCTGGTGAGTTTTAACTACAGCTGGGTAGAAAGGACACTGGACTGAGGATCCAAAGGATCTTGACCCTGCCACTCAAAAAGGTGTGTCCTGAGGAGCTTCAGTACCCACTACAAAGAATCCTGAGGAGAAAGGGAACTGTGGCACAGTTGGGAGGTAAACTAGGTGGAAGGATATCAGTAGGTACTTCAGAAGAGTAGACTTGAGATGTATCAAAACGTCTGGAATAAATCATTCCTAGTCAGCCTTGGAACTGACCCTTGCCTCTTTATGGTAGGCAGAAAGGCAGGCTGTAAACTCAATTTAAAAATAAAGAAACAACAACAAACTTGGAATCTGGTAAGGCTTTTCAGACCTAGGATGAAGTTGTTTAGGGTAGAACTAAGATGTCCAAGTCTTCTCATGTGGAAGGAGATTGAGATCTTCTACAGCAGACTTGTAGAAAATGCTCCCTTTTTCAGAATGAGGTGGCCAAGTAATGGTTTCCCTAAGTGACTTTCCTCTACAAAATCCAAATATTTACATACATATTCACAAGGAATCTAAACAGGAATCAAGAAGGTAAGAGTCTATACAAAGCTGAAAACTGTTGCAAGGATCACAGAAAGCAATATATTTGAAAGTGCCAGTAAATTATAATGCATATATACATATACATAAATATATTGAGTTACTGTTTTATTAGTTACTGTTTTAGTAAATTAATATTAGGAACTATATAATAGAATTTTATCTTCATTAATTTCCTATGTATTAAAAGGTACTATGTAATTGTACTTTATAAAACATTTCAAAATTGACATATTTTAGATGATTTTATTAAAGGAATAGGCAATTATCAGGCTAGCCTTCATAATAGAAGTTTTTGTGATATTAATAAATATACAAATCTAATAAAATGCTGTTAATATTAGGGTCTTTTCTTTTAAGAATCTGCATAGAAAAATAATAACCTATTCATTGTATTATGTACTAAGAAGTTAAAACTCCTGGGCCTCATGTACATTGCATAAAATTTCTTCACAGTAAATCTTGTAAGTCATTCAATTCAGCAAAAGAAGGTGAAAGGGAACAGCTCTGTAAGGAAACTGTGTATTTATCTATCCAGATTCCAACTTTTATTTGATTTCATTGTTTCCAAATTCTAGGCATGCCTAGAATGAGATTTCAAGAGGGATATGAAACAAATATGATTTACTGTGCTTTGCTTCATTGTATTTGGTCATTGCTGAAGTTCATTCTATATTGCGAATATCTTTCTTATGTTTTATTTTGTAAACTATTATGGAATTAGGAGAAAAGATGAAGTTTTTAAATGCCTGAGTCAACAGTTGGAGAAAAATATGAAAAGGAAAACAAGAGAAGAAATGAGGTAACATAGTGTCAGAATTTTAAATGGAACTCAACACAGTTATAGATCTAATTCCTTCCTAAATTTACTAATAATCAGAGGATATAGGACAGCAAAGCACATATCCACATTCTTTCCTTCAAAAGGTATGAGACAAAAAAAAAAAAAAAACAAAAGGTATGAGACAGTGCAGCACCCTAAAAAAATCCTTTTATTCCACATTAGCCCATGTTCTAGTTTGGATTTAACATGTAGAATTCTAAGCAATGCATACATAATGTTGCTTGAACAGAGGAAGCCATTTTGGTTATGGAACAACTCTAAATTACTCTATTTTTTCAAAAATATTTTATTTATTTATTCATGAAAGAGAGAGGGAGAGAGAGAGAGGCAGAGGCACGGGCAGAGGGAGAAGCAGGCCCCATGCAGGGAGCCTGATGTGGGACTCGATCCTGGGTCTCCAGGATCACGCCCTGGGCCAAAGGTGGCTCTAAACTGCTGAGCCACCTGGGCTGCCCTAAATTATTCTATTAATTATATTAATTTTTAATATAATATATAATATATCTATTAATTCTATTAATTATATAATTTATAATTATATAATATAATTATAATTATATAATATAATTATTAATTATATTTGCCTACATGGCAAATATCCAGCATTCATGACTCCATAATTTTATCAATTTCAGGTTTATTTACAACTAGCCACGCAGACAGACCCCGCTTATAGTGCCAGTCTAAGATAGGCAGAGTGTCACATTGTCAAATTATACTCATGCAAGTTAGAGATTTTACCAAGTATGAAATTTACTAATGTTTGAAAGCACACACGTGTTAGCACAATGCAGACTGAGCATTTTTCCAGTGGAGCATTCCAAGATTGTCAACACAGCTTCCTGAATTATTTTCTCTCTCCAATTACAGTAGATTCTGTTTTAGATTTAACACAAGATTTTGAGCCATGCATGCAGATAAATTTTGGTTTGGAACAGCTCCAAAATTTATTTCCATTAATTAATGGGTGTGTAGCATTCTCTTCCCCAACCTTCCATACATCCATTAATTCCAGATTTGCTTACAATAATAACCAAGGATGTCCTGACAAAAGCATTCCCTAGATGAAGACTCACTATCCATTACCTTTCTCCAGCAGGTCCTTCATTAGCATATTTACAAGAGGATTTGGCTCATCACTCCTTTCTTTCTGGGTATCACTAATAAAATAAATTGCAAGCTAAAAGCCAATTGGTAACCTTTCCTTCATAAGAAAATACTGCAACGAATATTGTCTTTGAATAATTTTATAAGCACTTAGTTTTTGAACTTAGAGAACACCAGGAATAGTAAATAGTAAAGAGCATAGAAGGAGCATCATGGTATTCAGAACTAATGGAGGTTTCCCTGCAACTTAACCAATTAATTTGTCAAAGTTTAGAAGATCTATGAGGAACATAATTACAGTAGTACAGTAAGAAGTGTCTGGTTACTATTAACTGGATAAATAGGTAAATTCTTTTCTCGTTTATCAACCCAGTATTTTTGACGAGTTCTTTTCTCGTTTATCAACCCAGTATTTTTGATGAGTAACTGTTGTCTCCTTACAGCAGCAACTGAGTTCAGGTAACTTATTTTTTTTTCATTTGGAAATAAAGTGGTCCTGCCACTGAACCTGGACCATGACTCAGATTGGAAAGCTGATTATAGAAATGGTGATTGTATTCTGGCAAGATCTATCCCAATAAGTGATGACTAATTTCTTCATTTTTCTTTATGCTCTGTCTTTATAGCTCTGTTAGTCCCGATTTGTGGAATAACCCAGTGATGATGACCCTCACCAAAAGCAGATCCTTCACTTCATCCTATGCTGTTTCTGCAGCTAACCATGTAAACTCAAAAAAGCCAAATCGACCAGGTTAGTAACTTGTTGGGAGAAGAATTCGTACTCACTGAGTGTGCGGTAATGGAATAAAGTAAATCTTAAGTGTTGAAACAAGATCCTAAGGATGCATACTCGGATGTGTTTCGTTTGATGGTTCTAAAAAGAAAAAAGCCTCAATAACTAATTAGTTCCTTACATTTCCACTTTATGTGATAATACAGATTCTTTCGAGATTGCTATGCTAGATATCCTATCTTGAGCTTACTGGATGAATAGGAAATTGGTATCCCCACTGATAATCTCTAGAGGCATCATTTCTAATGTAAAAGCTAATGATATACTTGTCAAATTTTTGTTTTGTTTTTAGCATTTGTTAAAATTATTTTTCAGGAGTATAGCACTTATAGGATTCAAGGGAATGCTTCATTTACTCTATGTTTCATCATTTTTTTTCAAAGGAACTCTTTATGTCACTCACCCTCATATATATATATATATATATATATATACACACACACACACACACACATATACACATACACACACATATACTCAAAGGAAGAGGCATTTAGGTTTGGACAAAATACAGTTCAGGATCTTTGAGAACCCTTTGGAAAAGCCTACACATCAGCAACAGAAAGACTCATCAGCACTGTGGGCAGGAGGTTTTCTTTCCCCTTCATGCTGCTACAAAATGAAATTTGATGTGATTTGTCCCATCTGGGATCTGGAGTCTAACTATTGCGTGGGGTTTTCCACCGTGGTGTCAGTGTACCCCAGATATTTTTAAGCATCAGCTTCTACCTTCCCTCCAGCTTCCTTTACGCAACAAATATTTGTGAAACAATCCCTGTCTCAGACCCTGAACTAGTTTCAGAAATATAGCAGTGATTAAAGCCAGACCCACTTCCTCCTGCCACAGAATTCTCACTTACATGCTAGTGGGGAATACGCACAGATTGATGGCCATTACCATATAGTGTATTAAAGGCTGTGGTGAGGAAGAGAGCAAAGACTCTCACATAATGAAAGAGAAGAAAAGAAACAAGATCCAGCACATTGAGAAAAACTTCAGGAACTTAAGATTCTAGATGAGTGGCAAAATTGGCAAGCACAAAGGGAGATGGAAACATGCAGAGACCTGGAGATCTATGATAAAGAATTTAGATATCAAAATTAAGAGCAGTAAAGTTTCGGGTAGGAAAGTGAATGGGTTGGATAAAGAACACTTCATTTAATCAGAATCTGTACTGACCTAAAACTGGAATGCAGTTTTCACCGAATTCCATTGCCAGATTACCCCCTTCTAGAATCTCATTTGAAAGTCTGGGGTATGTATTATGACAGCTTCTTCTCGGAATGTTCTGACTGGAAGTTTTCACCTCTCAGCACTGCAGAAAACTCTAATGAGATTTTCAGTAGCTTCCTGCTTATGTTCTTAATCTTCTGCCATTATAGCAGAGCGTAAGAATTTTCCAAATGGCTTCAGGGAAAAACTACCCCTTTCTCACTGGGCTGTTAGACATTCACGTTCTGGCTGCCATGGCTGCAGTCCCAAACTCCAATTTTCATGTCATTAGCCTCATGACATTGCTAAAAGTTCTCCTGACTTGCTTCCCTAATAGCTGCATCCTTCTGCCTAGATGCTTAGCCTTTTGCTCCATGCTAATGGTTCAGTAAATAATGCTCTGAAGGGAAGAACAGTTCATAGGACCTTGGCTCACCCTTCTGGGTATACCTTCTCTCTGTTTGCTCTGGAACCTAGTCCTTCTGAATTGATTGTCTTGCCTTGAAAGCTTTTTTTTTTTTTTTTTTTTAATTCGATTTTTCGTTTTCTTCTCAAAGAAGCGTGGATTTATTACAAACTACCACATCACAGCCAGAAGCAGAAGTCCTCAAAATGACAACGCGTTTATGAGGATTGGAGAAACGATATTCACATTCGTTCCATTTATATTTTAAGACACCTTATATTTAAAATTTTCATTTTTAAAAAGACACAACTCTTCTCTTGATTCTAGAAAATTTAATACTTTCTTTCCCCTTTGATCATCTATCTACTTTTTACTGCTGTTTCTTGGAATCATTTAAGTGCCAACTTCGCTTAAACCTTGCTTAGTGTAGAAAGGCACTTCTTCCAGAAAGTATGATTTTTTTAGGACTGTATCATTGACAGACACCATTAAAACTAATCTGGTTTCTAAAAACTAATCTGGTCCTCTCTGCTCTTTGGTAAGTCTTATAGCCTAGAAATTGTTAATGACCTGAGAAATAGGATTGCAGTTTCAGTGAGGGCCAAGAACAGGACAATATGGGAAAATCCTTAAACTGGGTTGCCCTGAGGGCAAATGAAGATTACCTCAGTAATATGGAGACTCATCTGGGACTCTGTCAAGGTGGAGGAACTGAATTTGAGCATTCCATGTTAAAGTGGTACTAACATGGTCCGTAGGACCCTTGAGTCTTTACAAAACGTATGCAAATAATTTTGGAGGAAAGCATCCCCAAGTAAGAGCTATGAGACTAATATATCAAGTTCAAACAAATTGGAGCTTACAACCAAGATCACTAAACACAGAAACCACCAAGGGTTAGAAACAAACAACAAAAGCAACTTTACAGATACCTAAAAGTGATGAGATATTTAAATGCTAAAATATTTACTTTTTTATATATATATAATTATGACAGACACACACACAGAGAGAGAGAGAGAGAGAGAGGGGCAGAGACACAGGCAGAGGGAGAAGCAGGCTCCATGCAGGGAGCCTGACGTGGGACTCGATCCCGGGTCTCCAGGATCACAGTGCAAGCTGAAGGCGGTGCTAAACTGCTGAGCCACCGGGGCTGCTCTATTTACATATTTTAAAATCAAAATATGAGGTGATAAAAAGTAACAGCAATGAGAGAAAAGATGTAATAGCAGAGCAGCTAAATAGAACTTTTGGAAATGTAATCAAGGAAACAGGATAGGTTAAATGGAATAATGGACTCCTAAAGGTAGAAATAGTAAACTGGGGAGCAGAGAATGTAAAGAAATTACCCAGAATGTGACATAGATGAGAAACAGGAAAATGTAAAAGATTTTAAGAAATATAACAATATAAGAAAGGTCCAGTATAACAAGATCATAATTTTAGTAGACAATAGGGGATATAAACTCTGAGGAAAAGCAGAGTAAAGGAAGAAAAATTGCACATAGGCACAAAGTAGTGAAGCTATACAATAGTAAAGACAAAAAAAAAGAAATCTTAGCCAAAGTAAAAGGAAATTTCTGAGAGCAAAACTGTCCAAAACGAAAGGGCTTTAGAACACAGTAGAACCACTTTCTTCAAAGTTCTGAGAGAATGTAATAGCCTGAAATTGTGCATCTGGCACATCTATCTCACAACAATGTAGGAATTAACTAAGACATTTTCACAAAATCAAAACTTTACCATCTGTCAAATCTTAACTAAAGGAATTTATGATGGATGTATTCTAGAAAGAAAAGTAATAGCAGAGGTCTGAGATCTAATAAAAATGGTAAGTAAATTTGAAAACTGTGAGTTTATCAAATATTATATGCGTAAATAATAGTATTTCGATTTGTAGGTATTTTTTGTTTTTTACTTTTTAATCTTTTTTTAACTAATTTTTTTTACTTATTTATTTTCTTAGAAAGAGAGTGTGGGCAGGGGAGGGACAGTGAGAAAGGGTGATAGAGAATCATAAGCAGGCTCCATGCCCAGCATGGTGGACCCCAACATGGGAATTGATCTCATCACCCTAGGATCATGACCTGAGCCAAAATCAAGAGTTGGACGCTTAACCAACCCAGCCATCCAGGTGGCCTGTTATTTTTTTTTAAGGACACAATTAAAATATCAGACAATAATAATATGTAACTCAAGTGATGAAATATGAATTAAATATTCTATGTTCTGGTGTAGTTTGGGAAAAGGACTCAGTTAAGGAAACCGAGGCACAGAAATGTTTAAGTAACTTGCCCAAGCTCACACAATTAGCCCTGAATCCTTTCTTTTGTTCTAATGACTTTATACTAGAAAAAAATTGAAGACAACAAATAGAAGTAATTTAAAATGAGGGATTTTTTTTTTTTTTTTGGTCCTGTCCTTGGCCAAGTACATGATAATGGAAGGATTTGGTTTCATGTCTCTCAGTTTCTTTATTTAGGTAAGAAAATTAAAATTATTAAAATAACCAGCATGATAAAGTCAAGAAGCTGGAAATCATTACACATCTTGACAGCACATATACTAAAATTGGTGAACAAATAATGAATTCTTCCACCTGGAAATAAGGTTATATGTCAATTATACGTCAATTAAAAAAGAAGAACCTGAAAATTATAGTTAGTGCATTCCCTGGAAATAACAGAGCAAATGATGGAACAGACATGAAGAGCAGCCTCATTTTCTTGTGTCCTATTATTCAATTCATACAAATGTAGCCAAGAAGAAGGAATGAACTCTAAGAGAAAAGGAATTTATCTGTGTAACATACCCCAAAGGCAGATGATAGAAATAAGAACAGGCATGTGAGAGCCTCACTCCATTCTTGCCATAAAGTACATAGGGTAGCCCTGTTGTGATTACTTTGGCGAGCATTTTGCATTGTGACGTATTAAGATTGTTGTCACAGCAGAGCTAGATGTTTATAAAGTAACCTATATACTATTTATGCTGAATTGAACTAAACAAATCCCTGAAAATCTGCCAAAAAGGATAATAGTCCATCAAGAATCCGAGAGCTGAAATTCAGGTACAGGTTTCCCTGATCAGCTGGGCTTTTCTGTTTTGAAACCTTTGTTTTCCTGCATTGATGGCATGTTGGTATTGATGGGGCTAAGTAGGCGCACTGTGCTTGTTGTAGTTGACTGTGATGCCTATATGGAAGGGGGCCTGGAAAAGCCCTTTTATGTATAAGGAACCTAAATAAAGTGTGAAGGGAATGGGAGGAAAGGAAGAAGCAACAGGCAAAAGAGGTAGAGGGATACAAGCATAGAGAATAAACACTGAAAGGTAGATGGC